CGCTGAATTTCATAACCACTAGCACCGACAACACTTGTCCACGAAAGGCCGATAGAGGCACTTTCATGACCTGTGACTGCCTTGAAATTGTGTGCTGGCGCTAGTTGTGGGTTCCCTTGTATGATGCATGAAAATCGACCAGTTGAACGACTATCGCTTGCAGCAATCTTATAATAGTAACTTTCTCCATTTACCAGGTTTGACTTGTCGATATACTTAGTCGCCGATATATTCGGGATAGTTGCAATCATAGTGAACATAGCCCCATCATTGTTGGTCGATGATCGCTGAATTTCATAGCCAGTAGCACCGGCAACATTTGTCCAAGAAAGGTCAATAGAGGCACTTTCATGGCCTGTGACTGCCTTGAAACTATCTGGCGGCGCAAGTTGTGGGATTCCTTGTATGATTGGTGAAACTCGACCAGTAGATTGACCATCCTTGGCAGCAATCTTGTAATAGTAAGTTTGCCCATTGATAAGATTTGACTTGTCAATATAGTTAGTTGTTGATGTGTTCGAGATAGTTGCAATTATAGTGAATATAGCTCCATCATTGTTGGTTGATGATCGCTGAATTTCAAAACCAGTAGCACCCAGCACACTTGTCCACGAAAGGTCAATAGAGGCGCTTTCATGACCTGTGAGTACCTTGAAATTAGTTGGTGGAGCAAGTTCTGGCTTCCCTTGTATGATTGATGAAAATCGACCAGTTGATTGACCATCGGTTGCAACAATCTTGTAATAATACGTTTGCCCATTGATAAAATTTGACTTGTCGATATAGTTAGTTGTTGATCCGTTCGAAATAGTTGCAATTATAGTGTATATAGCTGCATCATTCTTGGTCGATGACCGCTGAATTTCGTAGCCAGTAGCACCGACAACCCCTGTCCAAGAGAGGTTAATAGAGGCGCTTTCATGACCTGTGAGTGCCTTGAAATTAGCTGGCGGCGCTAGTTGTGGGTTACCTTGTATGATTGATGAAAATCGACCAGTAGATTGACCATCGGTTGCAACAATCTTGTAATAGTAAATTTGACCATTGGTAAGATTTGACTTGTCAACATGGTTAGTTGTACAACCGTTCGAAATAGTTGCAACTGTTGTGAATTTCGATGTAAAATAAGAGTCCAGTGATCGCTGAATTTCATAACCGGTAGCACCGACAACACTTGTCCATGAAAGGTCAATAGAGGAGCTTTCATCACTTGCGAGTGCCTTAAAATTAGCCGGCGGCGCTAGTTGTGGGTTCCCACGTATTATCGATGAAAATCGACCTGTCGATGGACCGTCGCTTGCAGCAATCCTATAATAGTACGTCTGTCCATTAATCAGCTTTGACTTGTCCATATAGTCAGTTGTTGATGCGTTCCAGATCGTTGCAATGATAGTGAATTTAGCTGCATGGTTTTTGGTTGATGGTCGCTGAATTTCATAACCAGTAGCACCGGCAACACTGGTCCACGAAAGGTCAACAGAGGCACTTTCATGACCTGTGACTGCCTTGAAATTATGTGGCGGCGCAAGTTGTGGATTCGCTTGTATGATTGGTGAAAATCGACCGGTCGATCGACTGTCGCTTGCAGCAATTCTATAATAGTACGTCTGTGCATTAATCAGATTGGACTTGTCCATATAGTCAGTTGTTGATGCGTTCCAGATCGTTGCAAGGATAGTGAATTTAGCTGCATCGTTATTGGTTGATGACCGCTGAATTTCATAAGCAGTAGCACCGGTTACACTTGTCCATGAAAGATCAATAGAGGCACTTTCACGACCTGTGACTGCCTTGAAATTATGTGGCGACGGAAGTTGTGGATTCGCGTACATGAGTGGTGAAAATCGACCAGTAGATTGACCATCCTGGGCAGCAATCTTGTAATAATAAGTTTGCCCATTGATAAGGTTTGACTTGTCGATATAGTAAGTTGTTGATGTGTTCGAGATAGTTGCAATTGTAGTGAATATAGCTGCATCATTGTTGGTCGATGATCGCTGAATTTCATAACCAGTAGCACCGACAACACTTGTCCACGAAAGGTCAATAGAGGCACTTTCATGACCTGTGACTGCCTTGAAACTATCTGGCGGCGCAAGTTGTGGGATTCCTTGTATGATTGGTGAAACTCGACCAGTAGATTGACCATCCTTGGCAGCAATCTTGTAATAGTAAGTCTGCCCATTGATAAGATTTGACTTGTCAATATAGTTAGTTGTTGATGTGTTCGAAATAGTTGCAATTATAGTGAATATAGCTCTATCATTATTGGTCGATGATTGCTGAATTTGATAACCAGTAGCACCAATAACACGTGTCCATGAAAGGTCAATTGAGGCACTTTCATGACCTGGGAGTGCCTTGAAATTAATTGGTCGTGCAAGTTCTGGCTTCGCTTGTATGATTGATGAAAATCGACCTGTAGATTGACCATCGTTAGCAGCAATCTTATAGTAGTAATTTTGTCCATTAATCAGATCTGACCTGTCGATATAGTTAGTTTTCCATCCGTTCGAAATAGTTGCAATTGTAGTGAATTCTGATTTACAATAATAGGCCGGTGATCGCTGAATTTTATAACCAGTAGCACCGGCAACAGATGTCCAAGAAAGGTCAATAGAGGCGCTTTCGTCTCCTGTGACCGTCTTGAATTCTTGCACTCGAATTGAGTCATTTTTAGGCCTTGTTTTGACCCAAATGAGAGTCAATGTGAATAGAAAAATGGCTATCATTAGAAATTCCATGGTGTCTAAAACTAGTGAACGTAAAAAGGATCTATGAGAGAAAAATGGGAACCGGAATTTTCAGCACGGGAATTTTCAGCACGGAACGTTCAGCACGGAATTTTCAGCACAGGAACGTTCAGCACTACGAATAGTCAGCACGTTGAATTTTCAGCACGCGAACGTCCATCATCAAAAACCACACCGCGAGGGTTTTGGTGTGGCTGTAGGTGCCTGTGGGTGTAAGTGAGATAATAAGCGTAGATGTGGGTGTCGTTGCGGGCGGAGCCATAGATGGAGATTTATGTGTTTGTGAGGTTCTGGTGCCGATCTGAGTGTGAATCTAGGTGTGTGTATGGACGAAAATGAGTAAAAAATACACTCCGCTAACCCACACATAGAGAAGGATGCCCAGTACCAAACCAACACCCATCCGGCACCTGCAGCTACGCTCTTACCTATACCAAGAGCCTCACAGTGTGTTTTTCATGATGGACGTTCGCGTGCTGAAAATTCAACATGCTGATTATTCCTAGTGCTGAACGTTCCTGTGCTTAAAATTCCGTGCTGAACGTTCCTGTGCTGAAAATTCCGTGCTGAACGTTCCGTGCTGGAAATTCCCGTGCTGAAAATTCACCTACCCGAGAAAAATCATGGAGGTTTTGATGCTCTCTGTTGGCGTTGTCTGCTTTTAACCTACACATGCTCTCTTATCACTTAAAGTATGTGGACTACGAGAGGAAAAAACCAAAAGTGGCGAGTTGATTCTGACGTCATATTTATCTTTGATTATAGGTAAACTGCGTCACTTTTCTTGGGTGAAAGTTTACGGAGAGTTCGGTGCGGAAGAATTCGTCACAAAGAAGAACTATGTTGATGGGTGTTTATCTTTCCTTCTCCAGGTAGCCAATGACGGCTGTGAATTGTTTGTTTTTTTATTCATTGCAATATTCTGACGCTTGGTTATTTCACGCAGTAATTTTTGTCTGTTGGTACTTAGAACGACGGTGAAAGCATCTGCTCTTATGCTTTTCGCTATTTTCAATCGAAACGCATATTCACGATGCGTCACGCAAAGTATTGTCACGTAGAGGTGGCACTTTACTTTTACTTTACCAAAGCAAAACAAATAAAATATTTACTATTTATTTGTGTAAAGTAAATATAAACGACTATTTGTACATCCTGTTTAGATAATTAAATTGTACATTTATCTGTTTGGAAATCATACAGCTCGGAAATCTTTCCTTTACTCATATGTAGCTATGCAGAAGTGCCAGTTCAGAACTGGAGACCGGGCACTCAGTCCGACTGCGTATATAACTAACTAATCTATGATTTACTAAACCATCAGTAGTTTATAAGTACTCAAAAGTATTGAGGGGCTATCATATAGCGGTGCCCATAGGTCCCCAAGGGCTATTATACAGAGGTACCCATAGGTCTTCGAGGGTTATATTATGGAAGTACGCACAGGTCCTCGAGAGCTACACTATGGAAGTATCCATTGGTACTTAAGAGCTCTTACAGAGAGGTACCAATAGGTTCTTAAGGCCTATATTATGGGAATACCCATAGGTTCTTAAGAGATATTATAGAGAGGTATCTGCAACAATCTAGCAAAAATATGTAGTTGTTGCATATTCCTGATTGAAATGACTGTAATGTTCTTTCATATCTATAACTTATCCAAACGATCATATACTTTCGTCTCTTTCTTCTCATACATATAGTTTGAAATGGCACTGTTGTGTCATTTCCTGGTACTGATGTTTATCCCTTCCTTCTCATACATGTACTTTAGAATAACACTATTGTGTCCTTCCTTGCGCTTAGCATTTATGTCTCTTTCCTCATATATATGTAGTTTGAAATATTAGGTTGGCCCAAAGTTCATGCAACTACCCTTCTACTACACGCGTGAAACATATGGCTTTCACCATTGTGTAAAGCGTCCATCCTTAGGATGGTATACCGCTGTTCACCTAATTGCTTTATTGCCTTCTTGGGAAAAGAAAGGCGTTTTCACGACCAGGTCGTCCTTTTTTCAGATATGATGGTAGTGATGCTGATTGGATATTTTTGTGTCTCGTTAGCCAGAAGGCACTAAAAGATAGGAATTTTAGGATGGATACAATTTCATATAGGCTACAATCTGTGGTAGTCAAAAGCAAAAAACGTTCGTTCAAAATTCTCGGGGTTTTCAGAGAGTCTCTAGAAAGCTTTCCATGCATGATCAAAAAACTTTGAAATTCAGAGGCTATCAGTAGAAAGAGCAGCCAAAATTCTCTCTGTGATTGAATTTTCAAAACGATCGAACGAGATTTCCAAGATATATGCAAAAATTTCGAAGAAAAATGCACATTTTACTAGTAAATTTTTCATCACTTCAAGGTGCTTCCTTGTCAAACAGTCGTCTTTGACGTCTTAACTCACTCCAAATTCAAACCTAAATAGTACATCTTGTAACCCTTGATAAGCTCTACAAAATAGCGTATCTCAATTTTCTGTAAAACAGGTATGTCATTGATGAGTGGATTCGAAGTATAATATCTAAAGTGTGGGCAGACACACTGGATGATGGAGGAAACTCTGCATCTAGCACGCACCTTTGGAGACTCAACATAGATCAAAGAACGAATATGAATAAGGAAAACTCGAATTCGTTGTGACCCTTATGTGACGATTTCTGATACCGTGGACACTACTAGATGACTATTCTGTGTAAACCTCCTCCCATAATAGAAGCCTATATGGGCTTCTAAACTATCCACCGTTCAATATTTTTGGAGGGGACTTCTATAATGGGGTGGGCTACTATTATGGCTTTCGTACAGAAATTTCGAAAAGTATATAATGGAGTCATCGTTTCAATCATCTGGACTATCTATTTGTGATAAGTTCAAATAATCTTACAACACTGAAATTTAATATAAATATACAAAACAAAATAATTATTCTATGTCATAAATATACAAAAAAACATACTGTTTTATGTAATAAATTACAAAAAAAGAGTGAGATGAAAAAAAAGTCATGTACAAATATATATAATTAGACTACTTCTTCCGAAAGAAGTTTAATGTTGTGAGTGTGTGGATGTGGGTGTAGTTGTGAGTTTAGGTGTCGGTGGGTCGGTGTGGACTTTGCCTTCTTTTGATTTACACCCACAGCCATACCGCTAGGCATTCACATCCGCGTTTTCTTTATCGTTGGAGCCATCGGCAAGCAATATATGAGGTGTTGTCTAGTACACTTTCTCACGTGCAGAGAGCTTGCCAATGTAAACTATCAGTGTTGGGAGGAAGACTGATTTTGAATAAACTCTGAAAGCTCTTGGATGTAATACAAGCCCTGGGCTTATAATACATCTTTCATATCGACCGCTCTCCGGGGGGCTTCTAATATGGGAGGGACTTCTATTACGGGCGGGGGTTTATACTTTATTTCGTATATTGTAAAACTGCATCGTATTGCATTTTCCTTGTCGCTATGTACTATTGTGTAGTATAACGGGTGTCTCAGAAAGAATGGGCCTCTCAGTATTTTACTGAAATATCTATCAAAACTAATTCGTTCTTGGTCACTTTTTTTAAAAAGATTCGTCCTGTTATCTTCTACAAGAATCTATGTTTCTTATTTCATTCCAACTTATTTTATCTTCAGTATAAGATGAAAAATAAAGATCTTCAAAAAGTAATTTTTCGTAAATACGAAGATGGTGATAGTCCTACTAACGAGGGAACCATCCCAAGTGATCCACGCCGATTTTGCTCATATTTTGCCCATATATAGGGGTCATCATGCTAAGAAAAAGCCTAAGAGGCATATTTCTATGTTGCGATTTGACTGAGATATTCAAGTTTTACTGAAATTTCTCTGTAGGACCCTGATTTTCCAACAATATCGTGTTTTGAAATTTTCACCTGAAACTTGGTCCATATAAAGCCTTCAATTAGACTAGCTTGTGAAAAAAATCTCAGAAGTATTGGATATAGCATCATCGAGATATGAATTTTCCAAAATATTCATGTTTTATACAATATCCATAGAAAGGCGCCTCTATTTTGGAAAATTCATATCTCGATGATGCTATATCCAACACTCCTGAAATCTTTTTACCAGCTAATCTAATTGAGGGCTTTATGAGAGCCAAGTTTCAGGTGAAAATTTCAAAATACGATATTGCTAGGAAATCAGGATCCTACAGAGAAATTTGCGTAAAACTTGAATATCTCAGTCAAATCACAATATGAGCACATGTCCTCTTAGGCTTTCTCTTAGCATGATGACCCTTACATATGGGCAAAATATGAGCGAAATTAGCGTAGATCACTTGAGATGGTTCCCTTGTAAGATCTTTCGTGATTTAAATGGTTCTTTGGGATTAAATACTATCAAAAGATGGCGTAAGATGATCTGTGACACCGGTTCTATCCAGTTGTCAGCATCCTTGGGTGGTCCATGTTTTGCTTGAACCAGTAAAATGATCGAGAAAGTCAAGCGCAAACTCCATCAAAAGAAGATGGTATTAGTTCAACGTTTGGCTAAGGAATACAGCATATCCAAATCAAATGCACATCGAATATTGAAAGATTATCTGAAATTCCATGCCTACAAGATGATAATCGAACCAAAACTTATGGAAGAACACAAAAACAAACGAAAAAAAATCGTTAATTGGGTCTGTAATAGTTTTCGAAAAGAGGGCACGGCGTGCATCTTATTTTCAGATGAAAAAATTTTTGATCTCGACGGTATATACAATTTCCAAAATCAACGTATTTGTGCTGCCAGTCGAGATGTAGCAGATGAAAAAGATGGCATCAAAATGAAACAGAAATTTCCTCAAAAGGTCATGATCTGGTTTGGCGTTTGCTCCAAAGGAGTAACATCATTAGTTATTTTTGACCAAGGAACGGTAGATCATGTTGAATATATCCAGAAAGTTCTTCCAATTGCACTTAAATATGGAAATAAAACCTTTGGAGAACATTGGACATTTCGACAAGACGATGCAAAACCCCACGTCCATCACCTAACACAAAATGGTGTCAGGACAACTTTTCATCGTTCATAGATAAAGATCATTGGCCACCGAATAGTCAAGATTTAAACTCTTTGGGCTATTGCATCTGGGATGAATTTGCACAATGTGTCAACTGAAAGAAAGTAACATCCAAAGCCACAATAATTGATGAATTAAAACGTGCAGTCAAAAAAATTCGACAGGATGTTGTCCTACAAAGTTGCTCATCTTGGACTGTTCGTTTAAAGTGTCTTTTAGAAAATGACGGACATTGTTTAAATAAATAAGAAATGTGTCATCTTGTAGAGCTTGAAAAAATCTATCTTTTAAAAAAAAATAATCCTGAACGAATTAGATTTGATGGAGATATCAGTAGAATACGGAGAGGCCCATTCTTTCTGGAACACCCGTTAGAATGTCCTTGGAGAATGCAGTAAGAAACGACAAAGTGCATGTATGGGAAAAGACGTCATGCACGAGGCAAGACACCATAGTGATATTCCAAAGTGCATGCATGAAAAAGAAGGGCACGCCGAGCAAGCACGACAATGCTAAAGTACACACATTAGGAGAAAAGGATAGAACGCGAAGGTGAAAATCCATGGATGGTGAGGATGAGACAAAGATGAATACGGAGGGTGTGGGTGTGGGTGTGGGGTGTGGGTGTGGGGTGTGGGT